TGAGTTAAATGTGCTGCAGTAACTATAAGGTGTCATGTACCAAAAGCACTTTCACACGAAAGAGTCAGTCAGCAAAGCTTCTAGACCACGTCAATTTTCCACAGGTAATTCAATAGTGACCGTAAAACCTATCGCTATATTCAATGGCTGGCCACTGGGCCCTCCACATAACCTTGCGTTGCCGCAGTACTGAAAAAGTCATGCAATATGCACTGCACTGTCTCTATGCTGCCACAGTTATCACAACAGGGACTAGTCGTGCGCTCTCTTTGGTACAAGTAGCTATTTGTGTCGGCCCCGTTCAACTGAAGACAATAATACAGCTTTTTGTGGTGGTGAGAAAGCTTTCGCAAATTTTTCGCTCTCCATTCTCATCACATATTTCGCTTCTGTCGTGACCCCCCCACATTCCCAATCATATATATTTGAAAACTATGCTACACCTCCAGGTCAACCTATAACACTAACACTTTCAGGAAAGACAAGGAGACCAGAAAAGTGCGTCTTAAAATATTCTACAGAAAACGAACGTAATATACAACAACCTCGGAAGGAAACAGAGCTTCGAGATTAGCAGTGCACTAGAAGTTGTCGAAGAGAACATGCAGGTAGTAGCCGCGGAGTCGAACCACGCGATTGAAGTATCCAGAAGAACAAGAATGGGGTGAAGCACATTTGGCAAGCATTCTCATATCATGACTGGTAGATTGCCACTATCTGTCACGAGGAAGGTATAAAACAGCTGCATCTTGCCTGTACTTAACTACAGAGCAGAACTTTGCAGTGTTACAAAGAAAGTTAAGCTTAAATTGAGGATAACGCAGCACGCGACAGGAAGAAAGATGGTAGGTGTAACCTTAAGAGACAAGAAGAGAGCATAGTGGGCCAGGGAACAAACTGGTGTTAAGGATATCCTAGTCGAAATCAAGAATAGATGGACATGGGCCAGTCACGTAGTGCGAAGCAGGGTAATCGCTGGTCATTAAGGGTAACTGACTGGATTCCCCGAGAAGGCAAATGGGCGAGAGAAAGACAGAGAGGTGTGTAGGCAGATGAGGTTAGGAAGTTTGCGTGTATAAAGTGGCAGACCCAATTTTCAGACCAAGACCGAGTTGACATGCGGAACTTGGTACACGCCTTTCCGCTGCAGTGGGCGTAGTAGGACTGATGATGATAATGATGATGATCTTCCACAATGCTCGCGGCAGCTGAAAGCCACCGTCTTGACGCGACAGCAGGTTGACTGCAGCAAGGTTGTGTTAGGTGACAATGTATTTCTGTTACCATACAGTATGTCACATGACATATGCTAACAAACATATATTCCGCATAAAATTATGAACGCGATAGCACTAGTAGTCAAATGAATACCTTTTTACAATTTCAAGTATTTGTATTCTACGGTACTGAATAAACAAAGAAGGCTTTAAATGTGTCAATTTTCAGCGAACCGCTACAAAAACGTTAGCATAGCGGTGGACAAATTTGTTCCGCTTTTGGCTTAAACGGTGATGATTATTACCGCAAGACTTCCCTTCGATTGATAATGCTCCCTTCTTTATTTACCTCTTCTATCGCCCAATAATGATGACCACTGGATCAAGAGAGAAGGACGTTCTGATGTTATAAGTCACCCGCCGTGCACAGACCACACCTGCAGCATACTGCCGTCGCACATGCCGCATGGTAAAATCGCGACTCCGAGCTGAAGGACTGGCGTCAAAGGATCAGATTTGTGGGTTCGGAGTTCAACAACAGTGGGAAATCATCAAACTGCAAAGAGGCTCAAGAGCACCCGTGTTTGTGCTAAGGTTGCGAGAAACAAAACATATGGGGTAACTTACCTACCATGGTGCTGAGATTATGTCAGCAAGAAGTTTATCAAGAATAGGCTGTTGGTCTCGCTTTCACCGATCAGCTAGGAATGCTGTGAAAGGACTGGTTCCGCAAACTTGAAGGATCGTACGCCTGTGAGCTTGCCAATATGGAGGCGAACTGTTCGTTCATTGAACGTGCACACGTTCTAGGGCTGCTTCTGCTGGTAATGGCTTATATGTGTGGCTCACACCCACTATTGGGATTGGCCAAAAAACGAAGCAGATAAAATTGAGTGCATATGAATTGTGTATATGCGTAAATTTAGAACGGCTTGACCAAATTGTTGGTACCAGTTTAGAGATTTACACACAAAAGCACATTGATTGATTATATTTTTTTACAGCAGAAAATAGATCCCAGTGATGACGACCCAATTAGGGGGCTACCTGGGAAAGTTCTTGAAGGGGGAAGCATTTGTTTGCCTGCTCTCAGCATTTTAGGCGTCTAATAATCAATCAATCACTCAATCAGGTAATCAATCATTCAATATATATATCTATCTGTCAATCAATGAATATTAGTCAATCAATCTACTTATAGATAGATAGATAGATAGATAGATAGATAGATAGAAAGATAGATAGATAGATAGATAGATAGATAGATAGATAAATAGATATTGAACATCCCGAGCTTAGCGAATCTCGGGATTTTTGCGAGCTTTGGCAACACCTCTTTTTGAAAAATGCATAATTATCTAAAGGTCAAATCCATCCCTTACTGCATTAAGTTTCTTTGCTTACGAACGAAAGCGGCATCGAACCAAATATAGTTGATTGATTTGTGGGGTTTAACGTCCCAAAACCACCATATGATTATGAAAGACGCCGTAGTGGAGGGCTCCGGAAATTTCGACCACCTGGGGTTCTTTAACGTGCACCCAAATCTGAGCACACAAGCCTACAACATTTCCGCCTCCATCGGAAATGCAGCCGCCGCAGCTGGGATTCGAACCCGTGACCTGCGGGTCAGCAGCCGAGTACCTTAGCCACTAGACCACCGCGGCGGGGCAATCAAATGTAGTCGACAAAGTTTGGAGGTGTTGCAAAGCCAGGGGCATCTTATTTCGTGGGTTTTTCGTTATAATGGGGCAGAAGTGCACTCATGCAATACAACTGTCAGCAACTTTGCCTCAATATATTTTTCAAAGGCACGCGATGTTTAAATTTATTTTAAAACTCGTCACGCCTGCACTAGGTATCTAATAAATAAACAGGATGGTGGCCTTTCAGATTAGTTTCGGCCGAGTGCCTTACAACATCGCGACTACAGTTAAACCGGAAGATACGTGTATAAGTTAGATCACAGTCAGCCTTTATATTTTAGCGTCCAGCTCGACCGGTGCTCGCCCTCTTCATCGCCACTCCCCGAGCACATGTGTTTGGCTCATTAGCTATTCGAATGGTGCGTATACTCAGCTATTTATGCCCGGACATTTAATGACCAAGCTAACTAGTTAAAGTCAGCGTAAGGTAATTGATAGTGGTAAGCTTATGTTTATGAAGCAATGTAACAGTAGGACCATGCTAACTAAAGAATTCCAGTTAATGGGCTATCCAAACATTGCTAATTACACCAAATTATTACTGTGATAGCAAAGCAAAATCATGCACATTAAATTCTACAAAATATATGATAAATATGTCGTTTACTTAGCCCTATGTTTATTAAGTGTACACCAACCAACACATTTCTGTTTTCACCTGACGTAATATCTAGTTTTAAATGAAATCTTAGTAATCAATACAAGACAGTTCAACGTTATGTGCACTAAGACATAGCTAAGTATTAAAATGTAAATAAGACCTGGCTTATGTAGTCTTGACTTAGAAGCTGACGAAGCAGACTAAGCATACGATCAACTTAAATACCAGCGAGAAGCTAGGCAATTACAAGCGCCTTCACGGCTCCAGCCTTGCACAAGTATTGCAAGTTGACTAAATTATTTTCTATGCAAAGACGCTGCTGTTCAGCGCCCGATCAAACATATCACTGTCACACCAGCACCAATAAAGTCATAGGTTGAAGGCGGATTTTCTCAGAATCAACGAGTATGTATCAGAGTCTGTGCATCACTCAGTTTGACAGTCGCCCGAGGCGAAGATTGGGTCCACCCATCACTCTTGCCTTTGCCATGAAACAGTGCTCATGCCGCAACGTCTGCGAGCGGCACGATTGTCCGCTTTATGGCGCAGACCACGCAGACACGCACAAAGAATTAAGTTATATATTCACGTGGCTACAATGTCTCGCATTCATTTTCAGTGCGATTTATCCACTAAGAGGCGCGTCGCCGCCACGATGTGACCTCCTCTGGCGACAAACTGACCTCCTAGGGCACTGCAATATTTGATAGAAGCAAAACTAGCAGCACGAGGGTGCTTCGTGTGCATGCACGTTTGCTGCCTTTGAGACTGGAAGTTTTAATGAAGTAGGTAGAACGAAAGAACCTACTCGAAATAAAACAATTGCCCACGAACACACTTGTGGGAGGCGCGATATTGAGTTGGCAAAACGCTAGCCCGACAACCACGCTGACGTCGCTGCGCTGATGAAATGTTGGCTGAGTCGCGGCACTCATGTCTCCGCACATGGCGTTTCTTTGATGACCGCCGCGAATAGCCCACACGCGTTTCTGACGCCACACGTATTACTTTGGCCATTTTCATCAAAGCTGCTATCAAGCCCTCCGCCCTGTCTTCATTTTATGACAGCCGTATAGCGAGGTCAGGGCAAACTTGTGCACCCGAGAAGCTCGGGCGAACCTGTATGGCTCCTCAGAACCTTTATAATTCCTCTTCAATTCAGATTTTATCCTATGAATGCGAATTGCCAGAAATTTCACCGGTGATTCTTCATCCAATCTTTTGGATAAAATTGAAACATAAAGCCCTGGTGTCATGTGGCGATATAGTGATGCCATGTTATGTGGCAATGTGGCAATATTGCAACTAGCGTAATGCTTGTGTGTGAGGTGTTTCGCCTGAGCTCGGAAACAGGGGGTCTTATCTGTCGAATTGAGACAGGGCGTAGGCTTATCATGCTATAATATGTGCTCGTAATGACTCTAACCCCTTAGGGCTTGCGCAAAGCGTTTCAGTTTCTTATATAGTTTCAACCCACAGCTGGCACTAAGAAAATCGTTTTCGTCATTGTATAGCAGGTTCTCGGCCTGAGTGAAAACCTCAGTGTTTCGTCGACTGACTCTGACTTGCAAAGAGGTTGACTATAAAGGTGAGGTCTTGTATGCTTGACACTCGTAGTTAGCAAAGATAAACTTCAAGTTCATGTTCGCTTAGATGCCGCATGCACGGCGACGTTCGGATGCCAATGTTCATGAGCCTTCTAGAAGTTAGGCTCCCATTCATAGTGAGTACTGATGCGATGTTAGAAGTGGGCGACATCGAGAAACGTATCCGTATTTATTCTATTTAAAACTTCTTGTGGAAGTATGTAAATTATGACAGCCGATAGTAAACATTTTAGCAATCGTGCATAATTTTGATTGATATGTGCGGTTTAACGTCCCAAAACCACCATATGATTATGAGAGATGCCGTAGTGAAGGGCTCCGGAAATTTCGACCACCTGGGGTTTTTTACGTGCACCCAATCTGAGCACACAGGCCTACAACATTTCCGCCTCCATCGAATATGCAGCCATCACAGCCGGGAATTGAACCCGAGAGTAGAACTTGCAGTTAGTAAAGTTGTAATTAACCGTCAATTATTTACTTGCCTTATGATTCTATGTGGTTATCCTTTTCCGTGCCTTCAAAGTCCTTCTGCACTTAACGTGCTCTTCCACTAGCTCTTGTATGCATACTACATGCATGCGACAATAGAGCTTGATGACTTAACTACTTGAGGTCATTTCGTATGACGTCATTTGGCGCTAATTTTTGACAAGATAAGATTACCAGCACAAAGATGGAACAATCATGAAGGACGTTTGTTCGTCCCGAACGTTTCGTCTTTCTTTGGGCTGATAAATTTATGCTCATTGTGAATGAACACGCCCAAGCAGCAGTTTTAAGGAAAGATTCGACAACGTGAATTTTCGCATCATTCGTGCTGCCCTGGCGGGCTTGCCTCTTTTATTGAGCACCTAAGGCTTGGTCATGGCTCTTTATATTGAACTGAGATTTACGATTTTGCACTAGTTACGATTGTCGGGGAACAATTTAAGAGCCTATAGCTAAGCTATGCTCCGTCGTTCGCCACTGCGATCAAAGCCATTCAAAATTTTTCAATAAGCATCATCAATAAACTTATTAAATCACTGTTGCTTGCAGTAATTTGTATTATCTTCATCAATATTCTTGCAGACAAATGGTACTTACCCAAAGTGTAATGCTCTGATGTGTACAATAGATAGTGCGTTGAATAGAATTCTCAACTTCAACCAGAATCAACGATTGTCTTTGTCAAGACGTTTCGTAAATATTGCTGAAATGGGAAGTAAGTGTTCGACAAGATAAGTCTGAAAGTGAAATAAGAGTACTACTTTGCACTCGTGCCAAGAAACGTCACTCTCTTTACTGAGTCTTGAAAAACCTCCAACTTCATAGGCAGTGCAAACGAATACTCACCAGTTATATTCATCAACTGTTGTCTGTAACGTGAAATGTTCTGACGCATGTGATCATTTGTGCACTGATGTTAACAGTATGAGCTTCGAATGGGATTTTTTACAAGATTGAACGAATAGTAATAGATTCAAAGAAAACACAGCTCTTCTTCTTTCCGGTTTTTTGAAGGTTCCTGTTTCAGCTATACAAGAAATAAAAGCTATTTTGAATAACGGTGTTATCACAGAGCATCTGCGTTGCACATTCCAAACAGAAGTTTGCTTTTGCCGTAATGACTGAAACACGGAAAACACTGAATGCTTGATCAATCATACACCAACACTTGCTGAGTGGCACCAAGAAAGATGCCGAGAAAAGTTTTGCGCTTTATCATGCATGTAATGAAATACGACCTGTAATACTGCGGCCTGTATCACCACTTGCGCTGATGGCGGCAAGTTCCTGTTTCTGGCGTGTTTTTTATCATTCATTGCAATGCACGACGTACCCTTAGTTTTCAAAAGATAAGTTGGCTGGTCTTCTACGAGCTGCACTTCACGAAGGGTTTATCCATTTTTTGCGTGAACGGTTATATACATTATTGAGCAGGTGTCGGAAGCCCTTACAAAGGTCATCCATGTGGACATTTAGCGATATCTTATCACAAGTCAGTACAAACAGACAGCTTCATCGGGTGAATGGTAGCACTGTAGAGCACGCTGAAAGGCCTTCCTCAAGAGTCGACGTGTTTCTTTAAACGCAGTAGCACTGTCATTTAGTAGCATGAAGAGGGTGCTTTTCGGGCTCCGAGAGAAGCCAGAATTTGACCCGCAAATTGCGTGATCGAATGGAGGCTGTGGCGGCTTCATTTTTAATGGTGGCGAAAATGCTTTAGGCCCAGTGATCAAATTTCGGTGCACGTTAAAAACTCCCCGGTCTTGCTATGTGGGGTTTAACGTCCCAAAACCACCATATGATTATGAGAGACGCCGTAGTGGAGGGCTCCAGAAATTCTGACCACCTGGGGTTCTTTAACGTGCACCCAAATCTGAGCACACGGGCCTACAACATTTCCACCTCCATCGGAAATGCAGCCGCCGCAGCCGGGATTTGAACCCGCGGCCTGCGGGTCAGCAGCCAAGTACCTTAGCCACTAGACCACCACGGCGGGGCAAGAACCTCCAGGTCTCTCATAATCATATGTTGGTTTCGGGACTTTAAGCCTCACATATCAATTAATCAGCGCAGCCAGGAGCAGTTTGTAGTGCCCAAATTTGAAAACCGTGCTGGAGAAATTCGACGAAGGTCACGAGACATTTAAATGTTACACTTTCTTTATTTGTTCTCACATGGCTTCTGCCTGAAAGCCCAGTGGTGATGTTAGAAACCATGCGTTATTTCGCACAACATATTGTGGCAGTATTGGTGCCCCCTTTAGGGGCGGCGAGAGTAGTGACAGCTACAAACTGTACGTTGCTACATTTGCAGGGTGCGCCTAGCACGAGTTAGCGTACCATGTAACTGCAAATCAGGATAGTAGCCATTATGCGAATGGCAGATTTTACGCGCATTTTTTTTTTGCCCCAAAGAGAATGGTGGGGCTCTGAATGTTTTGATAAAATGGCGTATTCCCAGAATCGTCACATCGTCCCCTACTCTTCGAAAGCGTGCCGCATTCCTATGACACATCGAGTAGTCCTGCTTTCGATGCTCTGCCTCCACTCTTTATAGTACAATCACCTGACTCCTGTTACCTCAATAAAATTTACCTAAGGAGATAAGGAACATATAAAACGCCAGCTGGGTGACAATAGTGAATCTGCACAAGTAAGTTTTCTTCCAGGTTACGCTTTATTGTAAGACATTATGTGATTATATTGTGATCTCACACTTAATCGTCAATAATGACGTTATGGTCAAACGTTGCGTCGCTCAAAGAAACTGTTATTCCATGAATGTACACTACTGGTCCCGATCCACGAATACCATCCACACGAGTCACATGCTGCCTATACCATATACATCGTAATATAAGGATTGTTCGGCGGCAGAAAACGTTCCTAGCTCAGATTCCCAATACAGTCCCAACTGCAATGACGTGTGGTAAATGGGAATAGGAAACTACGCTAACGCAGCTGCACGGTGAAGGAATACTTTAGGTGAGCGATCACTGAGACTATTCGCTGTCCAATACTGTTCTGGTTCTCAAGGAGCCCGAGTGATAGCGCTACGAACTTTGCCCCACCTTCTCCCCTCTCGCTGCAGGAAAGCCCCGTGACGTAAGAAAGTACTGGCGCCATGGAGGTTGAAAAAACGAAGAAAGGAAAGTATTTCCTTCCTCCATGAGCGGTGCTCATTCTTTGTCGCCGCAATTTACTCATCGCGCCCTCACCCTCCTCTCCTGTCACCCTTTTTTCGCGGCGCCGCTTTATGTGCATCGCGAGGTTGATATCGCGTTATAACCCGGTTTTCTCCGATTTGGAAACAGTCCCCCACGTGCCCAATGTGCCTTGCGGAATTTGCCAGCAGCCCGCCACGGTCCTCCGTCCAGTGAGCCATGTATCGGCATGCCGCAAATGAGGATATAATCGGTTCCTCCCTGCCACGCGCTCGCTTTGCAGCGTTCGCTCACCTGAAGTATTCTTGCACCGTGCCCGGCTGTCATAATTCCCGCTAGTAGCGAAAAAAAAAGACTTCTATTTTTCCTGTCTTGCATTTTACCTGTACGTATAAGCATTCCGGAGTGTCTTGAAACGTTGTAGAATATTTTACAATCTTGAGATAAGGTTGAGCCTGCCACAACAAGAACGATAATTATTCTTGAACCGATGTGGCAACCAACAGTAAGGCTTCCATCTTTGATGCTATATCAAAGATTGGCATCAAAGATTGCACCTTTCTGCAGATTAGATAGCCAGGCACGCCTTACTGCATATCAGATTGCCTACGGTCGATGCGCGTTTTGCCGCTATCAGTATGCAGCGTCTATTGTTTGTACTTTCGCTTTATAATTTATGGTGCCCAGTTTTACCAAAACAAAGTGTTTCATCTTCAACACGCTGAAGGCTGCCTTCTTCAACGTCATAGCCACCTGACAATAATCTGAACGGGTGTCTATAATACGTCTGTTCCGAAAAGTTGACATAGCTGCATTTGTGATAATGCCACATTTTTGATAATGCAACCAATTATAAATTTTTGCTAATATTTTGGCTATTAAGGTATCATTGCAAAAAGGGTGGCACAAGAGCCATCTTTTGAACAACACGTGCCTAATTGAAGCCCACCACTGTTTTTATGAGCTATGTGTATCTGTTTACATTGCCAAATAACCCCCTACCCAAAATGCCGAGGATGGAAAGAAGTGCAGAAAGAACAATACTCGATATGATGTAATATGAGTTACTAGGCCATAAATGGATGCGAGCGCGTGGGGTCCTATTAAAGTGTCGAGGCTTTTGCAAGTTTTAAACTACACTTCATGCACAAAGGAGACGCACTTAAACAAATATAAAATCTCAGAAAATGCAGTAGCTACCTAATAATCATCCCTTATAACGAGCAACTCTCCCACGACTTTCCGTAAAATATTTATGATCACCAAAGAAAAGATGAGGATGCGAAAAGTTTATGTGGAGCTATATACATGGAACTGATGTCCGCT